GTATGTATGTATGTATAAAATGAGTTTAAAACTTTTTCCATATATTAGATGAGATATTCTGATTAACAATTACAGTTGGCTAGTTTATCATTTAGGTGTGGTAACAAAGTTTTCAAATCGAAACAAAAATAAAATACATAGTTTTATATAATAAAATTTTATTGGAAAGATGTGAAAGAATGTAGGATAACAAAAATCAATAATTGAAATATTCAACAAAACCATTTTTAATTGTTTCTTAGAAAAGTACATTACAATGAAACCCTGCATTTTCAATGCTGCAAGTTCATATGAATATCATAGAAAAACAATGTTTTATTTTGCAGAAGATGCATAATCTGTAGAAAGCAGTAGTAGTGTTGCTATGCATAATGCTGTTTAGCTTATAATTATGCATTAATACTATTCATATAGTTCATAAATTAAACAAAAATACTTTGTGTAAAATGTTTAATTTATAATCCATTGTTTATTACATTTATTATTTGTTTTAAAGTATTGACCTATATGATCATAAAATTACATGAACTGAATTTTAAAAGAGAAATGTAATAACCCATTCATCCATGTTATAAGCCTTTAATAGGAAATTTGGCACCAAATTAAAGTTATAGAAAAATTTCCTGTGCTTTTTTTCCAGTGAACTGCCAGATTATCAGGGATTTTTAGTGTCCCAGCAGTTCATTCTGTCTCTTTGTTCAGTTATCTCAGTGTTGTTTTATTGTAAAGAAACTGTAATTAATTCAGATCATCTTTTTTGTTTTTAGGATGTACATTCAATATATTAATGCCAATAAGGCTGATGTTGGATATGTGGGAAAGACGTTTGATGATCTCTTGTGAAGACTTTCCAAAGACACAAAGTAAAGAATTTATAGAAAATTTTGAAATTCTTCTCAATTAAATTTACTATATTGCTTTCACTTTGTGCTGATGCTCATTTAACCTTGATAATGGAATGATTATACCATTACATGTACTATTAAATAAAATAATTGATTTTCATCAAGTTATTGTAGTCAACACGTTTATGTTGAGCTGTAATTCCATTTTTATTATGCAATAAAAGCAGTTTTAAATTTTGTTATTTTTAAATCAATTTATTATACTTTCACATCTGATTATATCAGCATCAGTAGTTTGGAACTTCTGTATTACTGACAGGGAATACAGTAGTACAGTATTTTATGTGAATTTATGCAGTGGAGATGTCCTAATTTTAGGGCAGTGCAATTTTAAGTTTTCATGGATTACTGAGTACATAATGCATCTACTTAATTTTAACTTTAACATTTTCTTTATTTCTGAAAGTTTTAACAATATATAACTTTCGTTTACTGCCTGTGTAAAGCTACACTTTCTACTGGACCATAATAATAGTATAATTAGTGATACATTAATACTACAAACAATGGTCCCAGTTTTAAATTTGTGGTTAAATGAACTAAGGATTTGTTTAAATAAGAAATTGGAAGATTTCTATCCACAACTTTTGTACTTCCTACTGCATGAAGTTACTTGTTTTTGTTGATATTTTAAGTTTAACTATAAAATTCATAATCTGAAGGGGCAGAAACAATTCTAAACATTATCATTAAAGCAATATAGTCTGTCTTTTTCACAAATGAATACAAGAAAGTGCTGTTTTTTTATTATCACTACTATGAACCAGTTTTGTTTTTATTTCTATGGTTTCTGGGCCTTCATTACCTTGTTCTTTGAACTGCAGATACACACACAAATGCACTTTCTTCCAGTTACAGGTGTCATCAACCTTACTTTAACCTTTTGAATTCTATAATTGGATTTATCCATCTTGACATTAATACCGTTTGGTGCAACAAGTGGATTTATCCCACAGTGTCACAAAAACTTTTCTTCATAGTGTGATACTCGCACGTCCTTGAATTTACTGCCTTAGTACCGTGCGTGCATAACATCACTGAGCAAAAGCACAATTAGTGGATTTTGATATTAAAAAAGTACTAAAAATAGTCAAATACCAAATTTCATTGGATAATTGACACTTTTTAAGAAACCACCTGAAATTTAATTACACACTCAAAGGGTTAAATGATAATATGGCTTTTGTTAACTCATTATCTTATGAAGAGAGATTTTATTGTAAAATTGCATTACAATGAGTCTATGCATTCATTTTAAACATTATTCAAAATAAAATGTACACATACATTAAATATAAGGTTTGTGAATTTTAAGATAATTTGTACTACTGACTGAAGTTATTCTCATATCAATTATATCAATACAAAAATGAAAATCTGGGAGAATTAAAACAATTTAGCTTCTATGAGAAAGAGGAAACAACCAAAATAAGCAGTATTTTAAACTTACAATAAAATTTACTGATCAAAAAGCACAAATAATTTAATAAAAGTGGTTAGAAATATTAAAATATCAGTGTTTGTGTACCCTGCATGACTAAATATTTGGTTTTTCTGTAAGAATAAAAAAATGCACAAGAGGTTAAGGGATTTTATTTACAATTCAACAGATGTTACTCTTTGTATATTTGATATAGAAAAAAAAGTATCATAATTTTCTTCTTTTTCCTCCTGTGTATTTTACATTGGGTCTCACATTCCTGTGAACAAAGAAACAATGATTTGTTCACTCTTACTTATCATTATCTTTTTATGTTTTTCAGGTGTTTAAGCTTACATTTATGACTAAAACATATCCTGCCTATACTTTGATGGTGAGATTAAAGTATTAAGTGCCTTATGAATTTGTATAATCATATTGAAATCTGTATGGTACCACAAGTAGCAGCCTTTTAAAGTTTACTAATATACAAAACTTGTATAATGTTTTTAAAATGTCTTTTAATTTATAATATTGTGTATTTATAAGAGAATTTTTTTTTGTGCTACGCAATAAGATTTAATACAACAATGAGTCAATTATATGTCTACAAAAGATAAATTATTAAAAACAAGATATATTAGTATGGCGTACCTGATGTATCTGTCTTATTTGTAAAGAATTAAGTCTCTTAACTTTTTGGGTGATTTCCTTATTTGTTTCTTCTGTCCATAATGTACAAGAAATAATTTTATCTTACCAAACATAATAATGATAAGTAAGGTTCAATGCACAGTACTCTTACCTCTACACATTTGTCAAAGAGCTTATCAGATATCTGAAAATACACCAGAATAATTATTACCTAAGTTAACTATTTGGTTCAATAGCAGAAAAAATTATAAGGATACCTAGTGACAATATATTTAATTATTGTGCATACACATGTTCCCAGCTTTAAAAAAATTTTAATTGATGATATTTAACTACAGAATTAATTACCAAGAGGTCCACATGAATCACGCCACTTTTTAAACTCATTTTTCTAAACTGTTTATGGATGAAACTGTATGTGGGTTTATGACCTCGCTGGTTACAGAATATCTAGCATGCCAGTCACACACACACACAAAAAAAAGTAAACAGAAATATGCATGAAGAAGGATATATGGAGAGTTTCGGATTCACATATTTTGCCAAAGGCGATGTTTACGCCATTGACAGCATCTAAAGCTTTATATCGAATCTTGTATTGATATGGATTGCTATAAGGAAAAGTTTGACATCCAATATGGCGGCGTTGAATAAAACGGTAAGGTTTGTGATGTCACATGCAAGACCTATTATACGCCCCTCTTTGTTTTCACTTAGAAATTTGTATTAATAATTGTATGAACCTAAGGTTATTTAACTCTTATGAGAAGTTTATAAGTGCTGAGTGAAGAATTTTTCAATGTTACCAATTTTTGTCATATATTTTTTTATCGATTGTTGTCATAGTTCAGTGTTTAACCGCTAGTAGTATTATTGTATATGACTTGCTGTGATTGCTTTTATCTAATAATGGCAAATATTCGCTGTACAACGTGCTGTTTCATCCTTTGCTGTCATATTCTTCACAAAAATATCCACAATATAATGTTAACTTTACCATGTGATGTTTAACAGTAATATAATGAGAAGAAAGTTGAGGCTTTTGAAGAAAAAAAAAGTATCTGTAAATACAAAATAGCATGATACCCCGTCCTACCTTCTTTCGTACGGCGATTTGTGTGGCATTGAAACTAGAATAGTAGTTCCACAAACATGAAATTCCAATTCAAGCAATAAGTATGGCCCCTAAACAACAAATCACGAGCGCGATTGCGCCTCCCCCCCAAAAAAAACGAATAAAGTTTTTTATTTTTTGCTCGCCATCACACTTTATGTTCTACTTGTCCTGGATCTTGAAATATCATACAGTTTAATCAGAAAAGACGCCCATTTCGTACGGGCTGCAAAATGTAAATATTACCTTCAGTTTGTTCAAGGCTTTTACCAATTTTCTGTACTTGTTAGTATGAGGTATTCATCATTGTCATTGGTGGCAGCAACACTTATATTAACTTGCTGATGTTATAAGTTTATTAGGAATAAAAACTTTCGTTACTTATACATTCAAATGCATATAAATGAATTTTTCGCGGGTTCGAATCCCCATCCCACCAAACATTCTCGCCCTTTCAGCCGTGGGGGCGTTAAAATGTGACAGTCAATCCCACTATTCGTTGGTAAAAGAGTATCCCAAGAGTTGGCGGTGGGTGGTGATGACTAGTTGCCTTCCCTCTAGTGTTACACTGCTAAATTAGGGACAGCTAGCGCAGATAACCCTCGTGTAGCTTTGCGCGAAATTCAAAAGCAAACAAATAAATGAATTTATTTCACCACAAGTAACATTTGTAAACCATTTATCATTAATTCTATTGCCCAAATTTTAGTTGTCCATACGTCATTCTGTAGCATGGAAAGCGTTCAGAATCTAGAAGATAAAGTTACTTAATTAAGCATTTGCCATTTAACACTGAGAAAAAATAAATACATTTTAGTGTAGCATTTAACAATCAGTAAATTCATGTTAAGTTAATCACTGTTTAGATGTTTTGTCAAGCCTAAAAAAGTGGAGTGTGGTGGACATAACATAATTCTTCACTCTACAAACACAAAAAATCGATGGCAGATAAATGGTGAAGACAGATAATGGATTACTACTGCCAAAGGAGATGAGCAAATGTCGTTAACTGTGGGGAAACAAAATATTCTTGCAATAATTGAAAGTGATAAAACGTCTTGAAAATGCAGAAGGGAATGTTGTATCTCTAGCATATCTAAAACGAACCTAAAATTATTCTGGTAGTCTCTAGTAATTTAAGAACAGAAGTTTTGAGAGCGATCTTTAAAACCAGAGGAAGAGGACATTGGGGATCATCTCGTGTTTCAATCGGTCTGAAGACAACACTTTGTTCACTAAAATCTAGAACAGATGCTAGTGTAAATATTACTGGCATAAGTAAGCATAATTAGGCAATAGAAAATTGTTTTACCTGTGTGGTGGATATTGCCAGCTTGCTTCCCAAGATAGCAAAGCTAATTAGTAATTGTTAACAACAATAGATAACTTCAAAAAATGCTGTACTATATCTGACACAAGTGTCTTTGTGGTTTTCAATTACATCATTCATTTAAGTTTGTGTAACAATAAAATTCCACGCAGTTTAAGAGCCAAGCGTTGATGAATACCTGCTTGCATAGCGATGTCAAACTATTAAAGAAGCTGACCATTCACTATCATCTCTAATTAGCTGAAAGTACAGAAAGAAACCTTCAGAAAATAAAGGAAACGCTTTTTAAATTTCGTAAATGACAACAGAACATGTTATAAAACCATTGACCATGTATAATAGTCGTATACAGGGCTAAAGAGCAGTAACATATTCAAATATACGTTTAAACCAACAGATAAGTTACAAGTTCACAATAAAAGGAATATAAAATGATTTGAATGAAAAAAGTGAAATAAGTCGAATTTAACAACAATTGTAAGAGATTGACACCTAGAAGTTTCACTTGGAAGAAAAATACTTATTCTCAATACAAGTATAACAGCATCTGAAAGTATGTGTTGATCAAACGTTTCTCCCTGTTTAATGGTCAGTTCCTTGTACAAACAGGACAGCATAAAACAAACACTACGCCAGTTCTGTGGGCAATTTTACATGATG